AGGTTGGCAGAGGCCCTGCCTAGGCCGTGGGCAGGCCCCCGGCTCCCCCTGCTCCTGTGCAACGAAGAGGGAAACCCGCCCGCACACCCAGAGGCAGCACAGACCAGGGCTGCACGGCTGGAGATGGAGGAAGTGAGCATGCCTGGGGCACAAGAGAGAGACAGTGGCAGGGGGCTCCAGGCCCCTCTCCTGGGGGGTGCAGGCCCATCCTTAGGGGGCTCCAGGGCCGGCTCCAGGGCCCTCTCCTGGGGGGGTGCAGGCCCAGCCCTGGGGGGCTCCGGGCCCCTCTCCTGGGGGGTGCAGGCCCATCCCCGGTGGAGGTCCGCTTCCTCTTCCCAAGGGCGTAGCCCAGCTAGCCAAGTGCCTGGGGCTCCGCATGCCCGGATGCAAACCCAGGGGCAGGCGCCGGAGTCCATCCTCGCCGTCTCGCGGCTGTGGTGTCTCCAGGGCACGTGCAGGAGGAAGCTCAGCTCCGGATTTTGCAATGGGACCTGGTTGGCGTCCTGCCGACCAGTGGGGAGGCTCCCGGTCCGAACTGGGCCCAGCGGGGAGGAAAAGCAAAAAGGTGCCTGCACTGGAGCCCTTTGCCGCCGCGCTCCTGGGGCCGTGTCCAGCTTAGAGCCGCAGTGTCCAGGTTAGCGCCGCCCTGTGAAAGGCAAAGAGCAAAAGTCCCCCTCGCTCGTCCCGCACAGAACCGCGCCTGCCCCTCCCTGCTGCCCCGGCAGATCTCAGAGCGGCCAGGCTGGGTCAGACCAAGGCCCGTCCAGCCCAGTGTCTGTCTGCCCACAGCGGCCTATGCCAGGGGCCCCAGAGGGAGGGAACCGAACAGGGAATCCCCACATAATCCCTCCCCTCTCGCCCATTCCCAGCCTCTGACAGTGGCCAGACACCCCCTCCCTGCCCGGCCTGGCTAACAGCTGTCCATGGACCTGTCCTCCAGGAACTGATCTGCTTTTCTTTTGTATCCTGTTATAGTCTTGGCCTTCATAACATCCCCTGGCAAGGAGTTCCCCAAGTTGACTGCGCATTGTTTGAAGAAATACTTCCTTATATTTATTTTAAACCTGCTGCCTACTAATGCAGTTGGGTGACCCCGAGTCTTGTGGCTGTGAGAAGAGGGAAATAATGTTTCCTTATTTACTTTCTCCGAGCAGGAAGGGAAGTTCTCACGAAAGCCTAAGTGACGGAACAAGGTTGCTAAGACACCTTATAATTGAAGTGGTTTTGTTTCCCTTCCAAAGCTCGGAGCTGCACTGACAGCCAAGGCCAGGCCATGGCGATATCGCCCGCGGGAGGCTCCAGGCAGGGAACCCCACAGACCGCAGGACGGACTTTCCCCGTGGGACATACGTTGAGACGCCGGCAGGTCTCCGAGACCTTCCGCTGAACGCGCAGGCTCGGTCTAAACAGCGTGGCCCTGGATGGATGATCCGCCCCCCGGCTGCACGGCACAGCCTGCTCTGCCACCGGGCGTAACCGCCACGCGGAAGGCAGGTGTCCCAGCGCTCGGGGGGGACTCGGTGGATGAAGCGGCGTCCGACTCCCTCGATAAAGCAAACGCCGCTCGCTCCTGCCCTAACGTGTCCTGCT